CAGTACGACTTTACCTCCAGGCCGCCTCGTAGCACGATTACTCGTAGTACGGGGTCTCGCTGCTCTTGGTCTGGCTGCTCCCCTTTGGCCTTCCTGGCATGGTTGAACCTTGTGGAACGAAGTTCCAGCCAGTGTAGCCCGCGGGATCATTGCAGCACTGAAGCCCGAGCACCACGTCAAGGTGGCAGCTTTAGGTCGGGTTCCCGCAGTCTACTGACCGTATGGTACGTCGTGTCTTGGCTTACCAAGCAGTATACCTCATGTCATTCTGGTTACTTGGCAGTTCAGTTTAGAAAAGATGCTTCAGTTGAGTGATTTGACTCAATTAAGATGTGACCCTCAGGTAGCGCTCGTAGAGAAGACTCGATGCTTAGGATGTTGATATCTTCTGACTGCACGAATATGCATTTGAGTTGGTCTCAGCCAGCCATCCAATCTTCAAGTTGAGATGGAATTTTCGTTAGACTGTATATCAGCTAGTGTTTCTATTTACGTTCAGAAAGCATTTGCACCGTACTTTAAAACTGGCGCTGGACCTTTGGGGACGATTTAAAAGAATTTCATGATGTCTATCGTAGTACTGTTGCTTTCAGGTCATCGGCTTCCGAACATGTTACTTAGTTTGGTCTGACCATTCTCCATTGGAGTATGAACATGGGAATGCCTTTGAATGTCAAGCGGGATTTAAAAAATGCTCAGTTGATACTGGAGTCACTGAAGCGTGACCACGAACAGGCCTTAGTGGCACTGAACACATTTTGTTCCACCCAAGATGTCAAACATCCTTCCGGCGATAGACTCAATCTGGAAGCTGAGAAAACATACAATCAAGAGAAGATTCCTCTGCTGAAGTCGGCGTTGAGCCGTATTCAGAATGGACTGGATGATTCGGAGGCAAGTTTTGTATCCAGGTAATTCTCTTCTCTACTGTTTTAGGTTCTGTTCACGTTCGCGAAATATGTTGATTGCTTGGAGGCTGAGAATATGAAACTGGCTTTGCACAACCAGCGACTTTGCGAGGAAACCAGTTGGTTAAGGGATGAGCTCAAATTTACGCAATCCAAACTTGCTGTTTGTAAAATTCCAAAAGCTTATACCTTACAAACACTTTTTAGGAAAAGGAATCGTTGTTGGCTCAAACGGTAGTCGAGAAACGGCATTTGGAGTTCATGATGGAGTTGAATAAATACAACTTACAGAGTGGCATCAATGGAACCGGTGGGAATGATGAACGTGAGTCTTTCTTGAAATCTGTATCGAGTGGAGTGATTTCCTTTTCTTGCTTCTGTGGATTACTTGTTGAATTAGTATCGTATGGTAGCCTTTAGATTCCCGATTGCAGTCTGCCATCTGATCACAGGAGCCAGTCTCCGCAAAGTGAGATGTGGGCAGAAACTTTAGTAAGTAGGCCTTAACTGGCTGTATTTACAAGGATGTACGGTTGTTTAAACTATTTTTGTTTCATATAATTACCCTGTAGGCAGACAAAAGCTTCACATTTGCAGTCCTAGGATTTTTATCAGATGCCTATACATGATATCGATGATGGATAACAAGCTAACTGTTTCACGATGTTCCCAGTAAATACAACCCACCTGAGGAGCTTTTATCGACAGAAAGCTAATTTAGGGTGAAAGAAAATATACAATTATTCACCATTCTTTAGCGACGCTCGAACGATTCTTTACAAGGTAGTGAAATGATTCTGAATAAAGCACTCCCAACTCCCAGTCGGTTCACCACAAGATGAGTCCCTGCGAATTTTTACGTTCTGTGGATTCTTATTGGTTTTGCAGGTCACGGAATAAATAGGATTGTTTTAAAATTCCCTCTGTCCTGGCGCAATTATTTTGTTGAATTCACGTCAAAGAGGAAGATCACTGAACTCTTGTGAGACCCACTTGAATTACTGGATTGTCGTTCGAAGCTTTGGATAGACCGATCTCAGTGTTCAAGCACGAACACGTTCTCCACTAGTGTGCGCTAGTGGGGTGGGGCTAACACATTCCCCTCATACATCTGATATGTGGGGTTTAACTCCCAGATCGGCTGATGGGCCCTAATAAGAGAGAGGGTTGGGTTCAGTGCATCTCCTGTTTAATGTTGACTCAGTCGAACAATTTCACCGGAATGGAGGGGGGGACTGTTCAAACCAAAGCTGTATGAATACAAGCTGTACAACTCAGTCAACCACCTACAGTTAATACTAAAACTGCCAAATTTTCAGTCGCACTTCACTCAAACCCGTCAGTCAGAGAATATTTGGTCTGAATTTTGTCCTGGACCAATCATGTTTGCCTTTCTTGAGATAGGTTCTCCCAGACTAAGAACAATCACATGTGACATTTTCCCATCCGAACGTCCTATTTCGCCCTACAGTACTCCCTCCGGGGGAACTCTGGGTTATTCTTGAATGTACCTTTGGCCAAAGAGTTTCCTCTTGGTGACTGGTACTATCCGTGTGTCACACATACTAGCTCGTTCTGGTAATTGTGTTGATCAATCCCTGTCATCTCGGTCACAAAACGGAGTTTCCTATGAAGCTGAACGTAAATAAGAACCACTGAGGATGATAAGTTTGTCCTGAATACCGTAGTTGCAGAATTTGCGGGATTCTTAGAATTCACGCTCACGGTCACCCAATTTTCTGGCACAATTACTCTGGTGAGCCCGCACCAAAGCGGGGAAGCACTGGGCTCGAGTTCGCTCTTATTAGAGCTCATCAGCAGTGCCGTGCCGGGTTTGAACACCGGACATCTGACATGCGAGGCGAACGTATCACCACTACTCCACCAGTGCACGCTGGACGCATCTAAACTTTCAAATCTAAACAGGCAAATATGTTCACACTTGACTGGTGGTGACCCGTAACAAGGGTGGAACTCGAGTCCGATGCTTCCTCCTTTTTCATGTGGACTCTCCAGAATAATTGTGCCGGGAAGACGATCGTTCAAACGAGTGATGTAAGCGTGAATACTGCCGTCTTATGCAACAACGAAAACAACTGATTGCCACGTGCTCGAAATTTTTTGAATCATTGTACTTTACTTCATCCGACATTTCAGCTGTGTGGAGTCCGATTGGTACTGCAACAATGAAATGTTCCCCTGCGTGGTGCTGTATGCGCACCCGTTGCTCGACTGTTGGCTAAATCAAGTTCGGAAGATTTAATAATATTGCATTTGGTAGATCTTCTGTGCTTTTTACAAATTATTTGGAGTGACGCAGCGTGGTTGTGGCAGAACATCGATTTAAGCGCCATCACAGGTAGAGCCTACTAGGATTTGTGTCAGGCAGCTACGGAGCAGTATGCTTTACTTATATCACTGGTCTTCTGGGTTCACTAATAGGTCTTGCATTCTTACCGACATGTCCATGTTTTGCTCATATAACAACAGTTAGGGCTGATACTTCGGGCACAACGCGATTTGTGCCTATCTGCTACCTAGTTAGTAAGCGAAATACGTTTCAGAAGTCCATGGAATCCTGTAAAACATTGTGAAATATAGGAATCGAAAATGTTTGAATTCATGGCTCAGCTACTCAACGTTTGTAAGTGTGATATGTGGGTCTAGCCATAACAGTGATCCCTGGGGTCTGCTGAGCAAAATCGGGCTTATATGGGTAACTGTGACATTTACATACTGCCATGTTTTAAGCTGAACCACTCGGTACTGCACCTGAAAGTGAATACGATCATGTGGATGAAGGCCGGCGATCGAGGCTCCAGTTTGCTCGCTTTCTGGATTGACTGGTTTATCCAGGTCTCATTTTGGCACCGTAGCCGTATTCATGGGAACTGAGGTCTACAGTTTGGGGGTACGCTATCCAAGGTTTACACAAAGACTTACCAACTTCCATGAGCAGATTGGCGACGGTTTGACAACCTTATTGCACAAAAAGCCGTCACTTCTGTCTCTCCTAGAAACATCGCCCTAGGCTGCCCAACTCAATCCTACTTGGAGATTAATAGGCTCTGGACTGTTTTCGTCGTAAATTTTTGGACACTCACAAGGGCTGTCGTTAGTTCCCATTTGCTTGTCGATTTATAACAAGTGGTCGTTCCCTATTTCGAGCCTCATATCACTTTGCTGGTTGTCTCAATGATCCAACACACACACGACACATGAGCTGCTTGAACGCACCCAAACCACCAGGAGGTTGAAACCCATCCGGTCTGATCTTCCCACTTTTGTTATTTCCTTCCTAGATCGCCCTTTATAGTTCCTTATTTGCAGCGTTCTCCCTGACATCTTACATATAACATTCATGGCAGGTGCTTCGAACTTTTCAAAAATGTCGGCCTCTTCTGTTGGGTTGTCAAGTTTGCCCAAGGATCTCATTTTATCTCCGGAGCCATCAGAGAGAACGCAGGTCAACTATTCCACTGCTTCTCCCCGAACTTCCACTCCGATTTTGGGACTAGGCACTTCCATGACTTCCAGCTTCTTAGATGGTGACCTCGCGGCAATCAGCTGTACCCAGAGTTACCACCCTTATTTGATTGGCTCATTTCATCAAAACTCGCCAACAGCCTCACTGGTTCCCGCACGTCTGCGGACTTTGCACCGCATCGTCATGCAATATACCAATCAGGGCAAATTCGAAGTAGCTGCCTCTCTGTGCCTTCAGGCCATCAGTGACCTTGAGAAAGCCGGTGGACGTGACCAAACAGAAGTTGCTGTTCTTCTTAATATGCTTGCCTTAGTTTACCGGTAGGTTGACGCATAACAGCTTGAGAAACTAATGCACTTACCCATTGCTTGATTCCGTACGTTTCCATTCGTATGCATTGTTTATTATTGAATTACTATTTGTTGTTATTATTGTTAGCTTATCATTGATTTTCAAGTACGCACTCGTTGTGGTCCATGGGACCCTCGATCAGCTACTGAGTAATCTTAGGGATAGACAAACATCATCTCGTACGCTCCCTTACCACGAGTAGGAAACAGTTCATAGCAAACATATTAGGGCCAGCTTATATTGACTACCGTCTTGGCTTGCTGACTCTAGTATCATCTTACCCGAGAACGGGTGTTCACGTTAGAATTGTCACTTCTCGCCATCGGAGGCTGAATTCACCGCCTTTGTGCGTCTGTAAAGATCAAACAACCGAATAACCACTCATCTTTTTTCACAATAGGACAAACGAACTAATTTTGCCCATAGCGATTCAAAAACCGAACACTACTCAAGATATTAGAATCACCAGGCATGTAAAACAGTCTTAAACCCCGAATTTCTGTAACGACTAATTTATGCATACTAATCACTCCAAAGAATGGCCGCTAAATGAAAGGGGGCTTTTCGGCTTCTCAAACACACTCTCCCGACGTATTTTTTGGTAGAAAAATACTCGAAAAATGTGAGCTTTCATAAATTATTCGATCAACACAGCATTCATTAATCTTAGACTAAATGTGCCTAATTTCGGTTGTTGCTTCGCAGCAAAGTACTCGAGCCTAAATAACTCCTGATCGATTGTATTGATCTTGTTTTCCGGAGCACTCCCATCGGACTTAGTACAATCAATGTTGTATTATAGAATCCATATGGACTAAAGGCGGGAGTCTGTGAAATTTTGCAGGATCATCCTAAATATACAATATTAGAAAAGAACCTTTCCTGAAGTTGGCTTCCATCATCATCATCACAGGCATCAATATCACTGTTGACAGTGATGATTCACTGACATACAACCACAAAGGCTATCTAATTATATTTGAAGCCTTAGAATGAAAAATGAGGGAGGGAATGGACCTGGTGCCGGCCTACATCAAGCATTCTGATGTGTGTACACCTTCAACCTAGAAAGAAACCACTTGGCTTTGGATTCTAGGTTCACTAGTTTTTGTTGTTTTCGAGCATTTGATCACCGATGCATTCGTAACCCAGCACCAGGTAGCGAACTGCACCGTATCCGAGGTGAAATTGTGCGGAATCTTGCACTTGAATGCTAATCGTATTCGTCAAGGCAGCGAGGAAGGCTTATATCATTTCATGGCAGCTGGAACGTGCTGCGCATAGCTAACTGCTGTCTACCAAAAGTTCTATGTTCCACTAGCACCCCTTGCTGACAGAAATTTCACTGGTAGCAATCCGTGGCTTGGCAACGTCGCCACAGCGAAACGGGATGCCCTTTCTAGCGGGGACGCACTTAGCTTCACTTGTGCGCGGTAGAAAACTCTGTAGGACTTAGCACGCGCCGTCACAGAGGCTGGACCTCATCGTTCTGTGGTGGCTTGTGCGTCCCCACAACCCATCAAGCCGTGCTAGCAGTGGTACTTGCACAGTTTTGTACTAGATTGGCCAATGGATCTGGTCCCCGCGAACATTCTTCTCGCCGTCCAGGTCGGGGATGTGAACATGTGTGGTGACGTCATCATCATTAGACGGCAACGGTATTGACGCTGGTGTCTACAGCCTGATTGCAAGGTTTCCTTTGTCATATTCAAAACCCTAAAGTGGAAAAATAGGTGGGTAAAGGACCTAATGCTAGTCGACGAGAAGCATTCTAATGTGCCTTCACCTCCAAACGTTCAATCAGGCAAACCGGAAGGAAACAGACACCATGGATGCAATTGACATCGATTCGCGGCCATTTCCTGCAACTTCTCCAACCAAGTTCCGGAATGATCACGAGAACCCCGTTCTGGATAGCAGGCTGCACCAATAACACCAAACTCCTCTTAATCTCTTTCAGGCCCGTTTGTCAAGTCACACGTTGTCCATCCCGCGTTCTGAAGAGAGCACGGATAACAGTACTCCTTTTGGTAGACGATGGTTCAGCATACGCAACACTGTTGGTCCACCGCAGTTGATGGCGCCCGATGTTTCCCCTACTGAATTACTGCTGTAAAATTGACTACTCGCTTTCCAATCACCTCTTTATGAATTCTTTGGCGCAATTAGATACCAGCAACGTTTATGAGACCCTGGGGGTCAGTGACCTGAAAATGTCCCAGTTCATCGGCTTGTAGATACCATGTCTCACACCGTAGAACTACACAATCTCCACTGTAGCCCGGTACACACGACCGTTGGGACCGAACGATGTGCCTGGTTGAGGCCACAGGTCACTCAAATGGCTAAACTTCTTTCAGGCTTTCATGATATGTGCGCTGACATGATCAGGTTCTCTAGAGCTAATGTGAGTACCGAGGTATCCGTTAGCCTCCATGACATCTAAGGTTACTTGCAGTTTGAGGGACGTCTTCAGGGGCTGAATGTTATGAAGCACTTTGTAGATTCATGCATGATACATGGTGAAAGACGGTATCAACCGTACTTGTGTTTCTTCTCTAAATATTGAAATAATTTCGTGTGTATAATCCAGATTGACAAGGTCCTCACCAGCATCGATTTGACATCGAGGTCTTGTAGGTTCGCCAGCGTTTTCCTCATCATTTCATCGGTGATGAATTTCAGCAACAACAACGGAGGGAATGGGCATCTTTGACGGACGCCACTTTTGTAGGGGAGCTTTTAGGAAAATTCGTGTACACGCCCGGAAGTGTGTAAATATAAAGACCGGATTATGTTCGCGAGCTTTTGGGTGTCCTCTGTTGAACTAGTGTAGTTGGAAGCATTGACCGATCGATGGAATCAAGCACATCCTTGAAGCAAAAAATGAGTGGTGTGTGCAAATGGCGCTACTGAGATGTGATTGATGCAGTCTCTGTCCAGTAGAAATGAAGCTTGATGTTCACGGTTTAATGCTTCGCTTGCCTTATGACGTTGAGGAATCAGTGCTACCAAAAGTTCTGTTACAATGGGAGTCAAGCTTGCATCTCTGTAGTGGCTACATTTACTGGTCTTGACTGGCCTCATTTGTCTTTGACAGAGAGCTCGAGAAAACTCATTGGCTAAGGCTCGAACTTACTGGCTGAAGGATCCGTGGTTCAAGCCCAACTGTGGCATCTCGACCGCTCCTGTCTAGCCTTGAACGGCCTGGCAGTTTCTCAGCCCTCGTGCTTCTTTCGGGTAGCGTAGTGGCTGTGCTGAACGAACATAACTTTGTTATCAGAGAGGCACTGAACAAGGAAGTCGCCGTCCTAATACTGTACGAGTGGAAGGCCTTCGGGACCAGGAACACTATTGCGATTGGGTAAAAATCTACACTAACTAGTATGAAAGGAAGACAAAACGGGTTTTTTTGGGAGGACCGAAATTTGAAAAATAACGGTCATCTTCTCTTTGATGGATCACCATCGCAATCACTTGCTCCATCATTGAAATGTCTCTACTAAGACTCCACTTTGAGGGGTTATCCCCGGAGAAAGCCAAGTTTATCAGGGGCGAATTAAAGTGCTATCATCTGACAGACCTGGTCAACCATCAATAAAATCACCCGAGGAACCAGCATTTCGACACAGTGCCAACAAACACCAAACATCAATCTGCCAATCTGCTACCTGCAAATCAGTTTGAAAGAGGACGTGATCACCTAAATTGCCATTTTCAGCCACGCACCTCGCACCACATTGTGAGGAGTATATAAAATACAGCGATGACAGTTCTTAGAAAAGGAGCAAGTGTGCTTCCCCAACTCAGGGTAACCAAAGTTCCACCTCAGAAGTTAAGCTTCCACCGTCTTGGGCTGGACTGTAATGAGCACAATTATGTCCAGAATATGACGTGTGTCTAGCTAGAATCAGCGTAGCCGTCCAGGCTCCATCGTAGTTAACCGGAAATAGTAGCCTATGCTTTGTTATCAAAACCTCTCCCATTTGGTTTTGATGGGAGACTCAACTGAATCCAGCTAAATCTCTTGTTTATGATGCCCAAGTGAAGCATGAGGTTGATGGAAACTCTAGGATTTCCCAACCGCTCATGAGCTGTCGAAGTCTTCAGCAATCCTGTGAGTATTGCGCTATATATAGGCAAAATTAACCTCCATTCCAATGTGTCCACGAGGACTAGCAGGACGTTCTCCTCAACCCCTCATGTTACGACCCACAGCAACACAGTTCTAAACAAAGCGAATATCTGAACGGACGAACGTAACTCTCAGCGATCCTGGTTATGCATTATCCTGCTTGTTACGTGATATACTAATAAACCACGGATGAAAACTAAACGAACCGACTGGTGTCCTATGTCTAACGTTCTTTTTTTCAAATGAACGAACCAGAAGTTGTCGAATCGAATTTGGTGCATATTCGGTCTATATTGCTTACTTTTTCCGGCTTTTGGTACATATACATCGAGGTTTCACTAATCAAATGGCCTCGGTTCACACTTTCAGTGCTCAGGGCAAATATGCCGAAGCTGCGGAACTCCTACAAGATGTGGTTGCTATCCGTGAACGCTTATTCGGTCCAAATCATCCTTTGGTACGTTCAACTCATACGAATTCCGCGTCATTCCATCTTGCCTAGACCGGTGATTCTGCGTATAGTGAGTAACTTACGCCGCCGATCCGTTGTGTGGAGCTACTCAGAGTCCTTCGATCGAGTTAGCTAGAATTTGTTCAGCACTTACATTAATATCACGCGCACGGACAATCAGAACGGTTGATCGACGACATTTCCATACCATATCGTTCTTCCGCCTCTGTCCGCAGTTTCCGCCCTTGCATACAATGTAGCGATTTAGTGTGCCTAGCATGCACCACATACTGCTAGGTTCTAGCATTACACTTGCAAAACTTCTCGTTAGACGCATCTGAGGGGCTGTTGACACAGAAATCTCATCAGAGAGCATTTGAGGCTCTCTGTCTCTGTTTTCAGGATTACTTAATGTCCCCACTGTTCGTGAATGTCAGCTTCGTGTTTCCACGGTTCTCTCGCTAGTGTTGACAGTTTTCATAGTTGGCAGGTTTAGGCGCTAAGGTTCGTCCCTGTCGCACGGCAGTATATACCTAGTGCTCTAATCTTGGGACACGACCGCCTGTTACTTACGCGGATTCTTTTAGGGTTTGGAAGTCAACTAAAGAAAATCACACGAGCCTCAGGTGGGAGTCAGTGAGCTGTAGACCCTCGAAGATAGGGTCCAAATGACAAATAAACTTCAAGTTCCCCCGAGTCTTGGCTTCATTTTTTGAAATTCCACCACAATTCTATCGTTTGGGGGGACAAGTCCAAGGTAATGGGTTCGATTCAGCTTGCTACCCGGATGACTTCAGTTAGAATGACACATCTCTTACAAAGCCGATACTACCTACCAAAATATAGCCTTACGTGGTCTGTTCTTTGCATGCGTTTACATGGGGTTACTAATTTAAATTTGTCGGACGATTCGTTTGATCGGTCTGTGGATTTTCGCACTCGCAAACTCCTTTTATGAGTGATCAAAACTGATCCTGTCAAACATAATTTAAACCCGACGACTTTCATAGTTTGGGATTCAGAGCCTTCAACCTGAACTCTGTCTTGGTCGGCCATCTCTGCTTTATTCGGTGAACTTACGTCCCTTAGCCAAAAGAACTATCCATACTGAATGCAAAGACTTTCAACTTTTACTCTACGCACTAGCCATTTTCTACACGCACGTTCCCAGTAATCAGTGCAGTAGTTTAGATTCCCTGTTTCAGAGTGGATGTGTGTGTGTGTGTGACTGCAGGCACTTCTCAATTATCTTCGATACGCTTTCACAGTCATATTGTTTCTGTTGGTTTGGTACACCTTTTCCTTCACTCCGTAACGTCCCCGACCCGATCACTCTAGCCTCACTTTTTTTCACAGAATGTTCCGATCTTTGCTCGTATTTTAGGTTGCTGCGTCTCTTAACAACCTAGCTGTTCTCTACGCCAAGGCCGCACGCTTCAGTGACGCTGAACCATTGTGCCGGAGGGCACTAGCCGTTCGAGAAAAAGCAAGTAATCCGTGAAAATGTTTTGTCTATTGTTCACTCCGATTAATTTCATATACCTCGTCCCTGTCAATGCCTTTTTGGGCTTTTCGGCTTCTGTCACGTGATGCGATCTACGGTGGAGCTGCCATTATAACAGCCATCCACTTTATTCCGATACTGTGATCTGCGCACCAGACCCTTTCGGTATACATTTGAGTGAACACAATTTCGATAGTTGTTTCTTCGGGAATTTTAGAGCTACTGATTGTTACGCGATTGGAAACCATTTTACGGTATTCCGCTTTCGATTCCAAAGCCTTGGCGCTCTGGCTTCTTCTTTTCAGGGTTCCCTACAGTAGATCAATGTTCTATCTGTAATTTGTGGCTTCATTGGAACCTGACTTTAGCGATACTGCATCCGATTTTATCTGGAGCTCGCTACTGTTGCCTGATTTGCTGATAATACAAACAACTTGATGTTATATGATGATGAATTCTTTTCAGTTGAAGTCCAATTACCTGCCAAGCCCACTACTTCGTAGTTATCGGATTGTCCTCTGTTTTAGGAAGCTAACAACTAGCCAGGTTGCTTAATTAAGTCAGCACAGGACGGAAATTAGCCAGTCACTGTTTGGTTTGGATTTAGATCAGCGTTTCACATTTTCAGTGGACATCGGACATCTGAAAAATTTATGTAACGTATACCTACGTGTTACTCTGGCATATAGCTTCTCGGCCCAGATCATCCAGACGTGGCAAAACAACTGAACAACTTGGCCCTGCTCTGTCAAAGTCAAGGTCGCTTCGATGAGGTAGGTGGCTCTTTCACATTTTCACTTTCACGTCGAAACTAATTGTCCGGTGCTCACAACCTAACTATTTCAAGTCCAGATGTAGAAATATTCACTTCAGGACTAGAAAACTGCGCTGTTGTTACTCTTGGTTCACTGATTGATTCTTCGGCCGAGTACACACAAGACACGTGCACGCGAGTCCGGAGGCCAGTGGGACCAATACATGACAGTACAATAATAACGATTGGCCTGCAACTGAGAAGTACTCAGGTGTCGGCGATGAATTTTATGTTTACCAGATGGATATTCTGGATAGAACAAAGTGAGAGAGAACACATTCTTATTGGAATAAGCGATATCACGCTAACTTTCAATGTAATAATACAATAGTTCACACATCCAGTACACCTGTGATGGTCGTGATAGCCGAACTATTCCGTTGCCGAGCATCCGCATTACAGGTATTTGGACAAAGGATTGACTCTCCACCAATTTAAACGAAGTCATTTGGCCACACTGCACATATCGACAGTCAGCCGGTGATTGCAGAGCGTAACACTAAATCGCATTAAATTCGCGAATTGTGGGCTTCGAGCGAGGGAAGCATCCACGTATTGATGTCGTCTGCAAACAGTAATTCCCTCAAATCCATCCAAAATTCTTTGTCTATGTACTTCGATGTCTCAGGGTGTGGCGGATGAACTTGCTTAAAAACTTACCCCATTGCTGTGACTGTCACTCTGAGAATCGTTGTGGCCGTGCAACTATTTTGATATTACATTAAGGTCGGGCAGGACTGCTTTCAGGGTAACCAAACAGCACGCACCTACTTGGCAGTGCGACCGCGCACCATAGTTCGACTGGGGTCAGGCATGTATGCTTAATATCACTTTATCCTGAATGACTACACATTTTTGTCAGGAAGGTCAGATTCTTGAAGATTATCCCAGAACACCCGAAACTTACTAGAACCCTCAAACTCCACCGAACCCCGATCAGACGGCCTTGGTCAGACAGTGCCCCCTGAGTATATAGCGCGGGGTCGTCGTACCCTTCGCACTTACTCGCGTGTTCGGAACAAAGCTGTTACCTTCCTTATCGGCGAGTTTTTTTCGTCATTAGGCACTGGAGCGGGGACAGCAGTCAGGTATAACAGTTTCTCACCGATATGGACGCGAACTCTTTGTTAGAACAAACACAGATCCAATTCAGCAGTTAAATGATCTGCTTTTGGCTTCGCTTATCTCAATGAGCACTTGCTCTATTGTTCCTCTGTGAAGGATATTTGCCTGATAGACATTCCTAATTCATGGACAAAGCTTGAGTACTATTTAGCCTCGATGAGATAATTCACGTCAATCGGTCTCATTGTGCCGTCGTGTTCTGTTTTTTTTGGTCCCATTGGATTCCTGACTTTCGTGCGAGCATTCTATGTGTACAGCGCTAGGAAAGAAAGCATTTGAATCTCACCTCACTGGGTTTTTTTTAATGACGAGTAAACCGTCCGCAATAGCAGCGCGATTTTCTGCTCTTGGAATGACCATTATTTCATGTGGAGTTGAAATGATGCAGTGTACCTCCTGGCTCGGGATAATTTCACTGGTTTTTGTTGTGCATGCGGTGCGTTTGGTTGCGTTACTTATTCCTTGTGAAAATCGGTTCACTTATATTGTTTCTAGAGTTTTTTCGACATCCTACATTACAGGGATTCGAGTGACCGTTTTCTTATCCCGTTACAGCCGCTTGCTTATGAAACTAACTCACATCTCGGCTGATTGTAGCGATCTTTTCATCCTCACTGACTTGTTGATCTAACTGCAAACTGTATGGGTTTCTAATGCAGATAGCCTTTGTCCGAAGACTAGATATGTCCTAATCTATTCACCGTTGATCTTCCCTGATGTGTACAAGTCAGTGTTCTCCATTTTTCAACCTCTTCTTTACCAAACCCTCATTTACCACCATTATGGCCATATTTCTTGCTGATTAGTCGACCAACGAACACATGGGAATCGCTTAGGCTTGGTTCTTATAAATTCTGGTTTCGCTGTAAAGATGCAACCGCCCAGCAGATGGTTAACGTACATAAAAGTGATTGTCCTGTTCTGTTGTTTGACTTCCCTGGCAATCACATTAGGTTGGTGGCGTAGTTATGAGAAATTCTAATTAGCCGTCGATTAAATTAATTGGGAAATAATTATTTACTTGATTAATCTTCTTTCACTGCTTTTTGAAGTTCAGCTTTTGATTGAGAGCTGAGTTCTTTAGTCTTTGGGTCTGTCTTCGCTCTCTGAAGCTCAGGGTTAGGTCCAACGTCAGGTTGAGACAGGCATAGCCTTCTTGGCATCTGTCAATCCAGCGGCTTTTTGTGTGTAAATCAACTTCATTTCCGGTGATCAGATCCGGGCACTCGTTCAATTATTTATCTAATGCAATTATCTCTTTCAGCACTTCCTTCATTACTATACAAAATTGTCTAGAGATTGATATGAATTTCCTGCTTGTCATGGATGGCGCGAATAGTGTGACAAACCACAATGGTTCAAGCCACCCGTTCCGCTAACTGATTAGTTTGTTTAGTTCAGAGGCGTGACCGACAGATGGAAGCACTGAAGTATGATTCCACTTTTCAGAGAATATAGGTTAGAACGTATCCTTTTGGTATAGCGTTTGATGGGGAAACGGTAGATAGGTGTCTATGATATTAGCTCGGAGATGGAAATATCTGCGGGTATGTGGCTGGTTCACATACACCAGCGTTGTCTCGGGGTACCTATCCGGCAAAACGGAATTTACCAGCTTGTCTGGGTTTTCTTGTGATTACTTTCATGTTTTGACGCCGGTCTCTGACCGGACTTTCCACAAACCGTTTTCATCCCATGTGCCGTTTAGTGTTTTGCCAAGCGCTTGAATCACGTGGTGAGATTAGGAAACTACACAATGTGTGGTCGGCTCATTTATAACGCGTTAACACTTCTCCCAGAAAACCTATTGACGAACCTAACAACACTAATTCGATGTTCTTACTAAATACTAGTAATGTATTCGGACGGCATGGATTGTCAGCGTAGTTTTTTATCTAGCCCTCGCTGATTACGTTTCTGATCTGTGTGACAGTGTCGAGTATATGATGTCATGCTAATAGTCACAGCAACTAACGCGAGTGCTCAAGTAAATCAATGAGTCAACTACATCGACTTATTCGTCTTCGAGTCTTAGGTTCGGTTAGGATTTTACACAGTCCTTTACTTCATTTTACAATTTGCCGATGTGAACGATGGTCACAGCAACTAACGCGTGCTCAAGTAAATCAATTAGTCGTCTATTCGTCTGCGAGTCTTAGGTTCGGGTAGGATTCTACACAGTCCCTTACTTCATTTTACAATTTGCCGATGTGAAGCACAATGTGTTAGGTTATTCAGGGTTGCATGTAATTGCATGGAGTCCGGTTCAATAAAAACCGTCGTACATGTGCTGATATGTGTCACCCAATATCCTTACCTTATTTCTATCCCGAAAGCTTCGGGACCTGGTAGGAAGGTTTTCGTGATCTAAAGGTCACATGGTTAGATACAGACAATGGACCTAGGACAGTATTGCTCTCTTCAACGATTGGTATCGTGAATTCAGGCAAAGTTTTATTCACATTCGCTCAGTTGTTAGTCCTGGTGAACAACTTTTCTAAAGGGGTTATACACTTTTGAGTGGTTTTACCTTCGCCAGCCACCGCCAAATTGGTCAGCAGAGTCAAAGCGGGCGTTAGGTCACATACGGTTATCATTGTTCGCTGTTCAAAGCAACGACAATGATCCCGAGTATGTAGGTTTGATCTACCTCGACTTTTGAGTCAATTATTCACTTTCATATGAAATATATTGTGTTTGTTTGCCCTTTGTGGATGATGAGCCTCACACAGTGGATGTTAAACATGAAGTTGTTCTACAGACCTACATTCTCGGTTTTTCGTAGAATCCGTTTACTTGAAGTAGGTCTTGAAATCAGTCTGTTTTTGAACCATTCGGTTGGTAGTCTCAAGATTTACGTTTACGTGTATGATGTAGCGGTAAATCTGGGTTTCCTGATCAATCGGTATATGGAACTTGACCGCTCATCAGCCCTCATCCTCATACAGCCTGTAGTCGTTCTTAATCCCACCATAAGGGAAATCAGCTTTTCATCTTAGTCATATATGCCGAATAAATGCACATTAGGATATCAAACTCATCCAAATGTTGAAATCCTTCAATGCATGCATTACCGGGATGGTTGATTCGTACTTACCTTGGAGACAGCGCCTATTTGACAACCGATCTGAAGGTGAAGTAATTATAGTTTGTGCTGTAGCATAATCGAACAACAACAGATCACCATAGCTAAGCAGAAAGCAATTCACATCCCATTGCTTGCATCGTTCAACTTCTGTGTAGTAAGGCGGAAACTCTCAGCTCCATTTTGGCTAATGGTATTTTGTCCGTCAGTCCTGTAAAGTCCGCCGGACTGAGACAAATTGGTCTCTTTATGGACAGACCCTTGTTCGGGGAGCAATTTGAAGGACCACTGCGGTGCTTCTATATAACGACAAGCCGTCCTTTCGGGTAGGTTACCAAAAGTCGTTCGTTGTTGCGAAATAGGGTCTTTCAGCGTTAAAGATGGATTTTCGATTTTTCTTTTTTATCATTTGCTTATAGTGATGGGCGAAAGCAGATGCTACAAGCTCCTTATCCGCCCTCAGGTCTTCACTCCCTGTCACTGCTTTCGGACTTCCCCTAGATTTCCTCCCTTACATGCTGCTTTCTCAGTTCCTATTGGCTACAATAACAGCAACACCAGTGTTGCTGCCTGCCGGTTTCCACTGCCATGCATGCGCGAATCTGTGAGCAAAAATGGAATGTGGAAGGTTTGTGGCAACGTACTTCAAGCATTTTGACGTGTCGACACCGTCTTGAACCTCAACGAGGTGTGTGATTCTCGTTAGTTGGCAGTCGTGAGACTCAGTCGCTTTAGTGATATCAATACTGTAAACTTCCCCACAATATGGCGTGCTGAAAATTGTGGTGCAACTCAAAATGGACACCGCGTGTGTATTATTCATTTGTTGACTTGCTATTCAAATATTTTTTGAGGAAGAAATTTATTGTTGGTTGACCAGGTGGCCTCCAATCTGTTCGTCCAGCTTGGCAATTGGCTTGCAAACGTTTCGTCACCAAGCAAAATCATCAGTGCGTGCTTTGGAATGAATTTATTGATTAAGTTGGCGGGTACAAAAAGTTTCAACTTTTATGCCCACGGCCTACTAATTATGGGAATTCACTGGACGCCTGATGGTCATTTAGACGAACCGAAATTATTTCACAGTGGTGAAGCTGTCCATATGAACATCCCCAGGTACTCCGGATAGTGTTAGATATCCAATCTGTTAGACTTTATTCCTGTCTCTTTTTTCCGGTTCATTCATTTTCGTTCGTGTAATCTGGTCAGCTTGCTGATAATATACTAGCCAGCGGTCCGCAAGATATTTCCGTGGCTGCTGTTAAACCAGTCCAGTCTGGCAAATTCGCATCCCAAATCCGCGGGATGTTAAGTGTGCAAAATTGCGTTAGTTTGTCCCCATAGGATGCTAATGTTGTTTTGTGTTTAATTACGAGCCTAAATCCACAACATCATCCTGTTAACCTATGTCAATTGCTGCCTCTCTGTATCCTTCAGAATTTCTTCTATCGTTTCGCAACTTAATTCCCTCGGTTTTCGATCGTTCAGACCAGCTGAACCACAGTCGTTGTTATTTTCACTCCTAATTCATTTACATACCTGGCCTGTTTTTCTGTTTGGAGAGCGTGAACCGGCGCCACGGGACACCTTTGATTCCGGTCCCAGTGCCATTTCTGAGCGCTCGTCGTTCTTTACATCATTCGGCATCCCGTTATATCGATGGCTGACCACGAATATTACCGTCTGGAGAAATGGTGGGGGTTTTAAGTTGCCGAACTGAACCCGAAAGTCTTTGCTTCCGCACACTGTCTTCTCTGCTACTGGGTTGTCATAAAAATCGTGTGTCATTCGGTGCGGATCTATGCCGCTAACCTTTTTGCACCCTGCATTCTGTTTGGTAATCCGACAGCCGTACAGTGAATCATCATTTTGATGTGAATGAATGCATGAATCAGACATGACTGATCTGGTATGGATACCAAACGCGGTCAGAGGTTTAGGTGTTCACGAGCGAAAAGCACCTGACTTGACGTTTCCTCTAACCCAACCTCTCGATCGATTTCTTCTTAGCCATTCCAGTGGGATGGTTATATTACACCAGTAAATTTGGTCCAATTTCCTATCCGGGCGAACAAGCAACTAACAACGACCACTTACTATACCTTCATTCATCCACTTCAGGTTGAAATGAGTTTTCGAAAGGCTCTGGATATTTATCTGAAGCATCACAAACCCTCGTCCCCAATCGTCCTTCGTGCGAAAAGCAATTTGGTAAGTCAGTCAGTCAGGTCTTTTTTATCCATAAGATGGCCCAGCTGGACCGATGGACTCCTACAAGACCTCCACAAGACCATTTATTCTCAGGCTCAGCTAGTCTCACTGATGGACAAATGACATATCCTTGAATAGTTTTAATTTGAAAGAACCAAACTTTATTTATCTATTTATTTTACGGCTAATGTCGTTATGTACATCCTGACCAAAGGATTTGTTATTCTCCACGCTATTCACGCTGGTCCCGGGGCAAATTTTGTGCCTTTTGTTTACATTTATATCGTCTTTTTAATACCGGGGAGCATAAAGTACATGATTTTAAAAGTGCCATATGAATGGAGTGGTCGTGTGGCCTAACTGTTCTCCGAACGGTTGGCTTTGAATTGTTTTTGACCTTTCGGTGAAATGCCAGCGACGAAACTTGACTGGGATGCCCTGTTTGAATCTCAAACTATGAACTGAGCGACGTGCTTAAAATACTTTGACCACTGCCGACATTGCCGTTTGACGGATCGGTATGAAATTGGAGACAAACTTCACCCAGTATCCGGGAGGAACATCCCAGGACTCCTGGAGATTTAGTCCCCACGGAGCCGTGTTTTTCAGGGGTTGGAGACCCTAATAATAAACGACGTACGGGCACTGAAATCCGTATATTTGCTCTTTTGGACGAGCACATTTGCTCGTTTGGAGACCCACAGAGGGACAGTCTCCATGGGACCATATATCGGATAAGTGATCGTAAATAATTGTTCAGCTGTAACACCCCTTCGATGCCTGACTGCCACGCTATCCTAGGAGAGTATGAGTGATGGGATACTTCCAGGTTGCTTAAGCCTAGACAGCAGTGATAGGGTTTGAACTAGGGTCCTTCTCGTCAGTAAGTTCGCACCTTAACATCTGAGCTACCTCAACCTCATATGTAGATAGATGGGAAGACATTTTCCTGTACTGACGTTTTTGGCCAAACACGCGGGTCAACTGAATGGCGAGCTGCAACAAGAAGGGCCGATATGTTGGATTTACTTGGAATGTGAACCAAAGGTGGAGAACCAACCACTTACACTACTGTCTACGTTCCATTCTTTTTCAAGCAGAGAGAGGTGCAGTTTAGAACTACTTTACAATACAGGAACAAACTCCATTCGGCTCTTCACTTTTGTTACAATCTGTATAAAGTTGCTTTGCTCCAGGTTCTTTCTCCCTGATTTATTTCATAAGTCCACTTATTTTTCCACCTCAATATTTGCTAGTCCTGACTATAAATTGTATATTTCCAAGTTTTCATCATTTTACTGATGGAGCGAACTGCGAGTTGGTTCATTGGGGGTTCACCCAGCAGTGGCAAGCTTTTGGATATCTGAGTGCAGTACGAAGAACCCGCTCCCGCGTACCGTTTGTAACTGTCTAGTATCACCGTGCAACTGTATTGAACAGTGTGGAACAGAAAAAATGTTTTTCCTCTTGGTATCTTATCCCCGTTTGATCACTGAAACCCACGAATGTAGGAAACATTTATCGGCATTTGTCTTCCCTATCCTGTGTGCCAAATCGTAATTATAATTGATTATTACACAGTTCGCTGTAACTTGTCCTCAAGAACGTCGGGATAACAACCGATTCGGCTGAGTTATGTGGTAGGCACGTTTTAATCATCTGATCGACTTTGTTGCTCGTGTCTAAACTGATTAACTTGGTGGGACCTAGTGGTAGTAATGAGATCGGTGAACACCACAAGGAATTAGACCAGCAGATTCCAGTCTGCTATCTTTAACATTTTAACATTCCCATTTTGGAAATTTGGAGCAAGTTGTGTATGTCATGGTTGTACACAACTTGGATAGGGAAGACAAATGCCGATAAATGTTTAATTATCTGTTTTAATCATCTGACCGAATTTGTTGCCCGTGTCTAAACTGATTAACTTGGAGGGACCATTTTGGAAATTTGGAGATTGTTCCGCGTTGCGACCTTGTGAGTTGCTGGTATGGTGGGATGGTATCCATTTCTGGACTGGCTTGCCATATTTGACTGCCCCGGTGGACTCCTTTGCACAACGGGTAATGGTTCGTAATATGCTTTCGTCGAACCATTTGTTGCAATCAGGTGAACCGTCCTCTCCCAGTTTAAACCTGAGGGATTCAAAACAAAAGGTGAACAGAATTGGTCAGTTCCACTTCCACCGTCATACTCAGCTGATAGCTGATAGGCTCAGTTACGTTTGGACAACCAAACAGTTGAAACACACAATATTTGCCTGAGGCGACACTCCAGCCACTGACAAACGCATCTGAAGCCCACACATGGCTGGCTAGTATTTGTCATTAATCGATTCATTCTGTACAACGGTGGTCACAAAAAACCCTTTTAGGACCATTTTAGGTCTGTACCAGTAAGCTAAGCCCATATGACACTCGTGTGGTGTCCTTTAAGTAGCCATGGCTTGACTTGGTTTAGTCCACAGCGTGAGACAAAAGCTAGTCAAGACTTGTTTAAAACGTGAACGTCCGTTGTATCTTATATTCTGAACAAGAAAGGGAATTGTCGATACATACGATAGTGGTCATCAAAAGTGCCGTTGCTTAAAAACAGCGTTTAGAAAGGCATGTTCCTTACGTACCCACATGCGGATAACCAAGCAGTTGTATTCAGCAGCGTCTGACTCTGATAGATCGGTGATCTGAACTGCTGCGGAATCGACCCCAGATGGAAGGTACAATCTCCCGTCACGCTCTACTCCGTCACAGAAAGTCACTTTTAGCATCACTGATGGACTGCCGTCTTCTTGCTAGTCGATCGGTTCGAAAAGACCGGCACAGACACAGACAGTCTTGAGGAATCGCTTGCGTATTTCACACTCCTGCTTGCGGGTACGAAGTCAGCAGTCGTAGAATTGACACCATATTCCATAGTTTTTCTCCACGTGGGCGTGTGTCGTGGTTTCAATTCCCACTTCACGAGGCGGATTTCGGTAGCCTTAGACCTTCTATCAAGGTACCCAGATATCGGCGGTTCCATGTTTCCGTTTCTCCGTTTTTTAGCTAACCATATAGCAGCTGCTTGGGGATCTTGCTTCCCTTTATTAGATAAACATATCTCAGCAACCCGCACAATTATAGCAACCACGAATTCCGTTAGAACTTCCCCTTTCTTCCACATAGCATTGCTCGCTTAGAAAGTTGTGTTCTTCAAGTTCGTCTTTTTCCAATAGCTTTCCTATCCCAGAGTCATATTTGCCCGCTCAATCGTTTTACCAGTGTGTGGAAGGTTCGGCAACTGTTTTAATTTCCTTTAGAACAATCCATCTGCTACAGTTTGTTCGATTCTGGTAGGTCTGTTCAAGAATACGATGAAGTGATTGCTCCACATTTCCACTGTTCCAATAGTTGGTGATTGTTTTCATCTAGAATGTGTCCTGGGGTGTTTAGTATGCGTGGTACGCAACCCAGAATTGACTTTCAAAGGGTCGTAGAAGTCTTTGTGTTGTAAGCGAGAAGTGAAACTTCCGATCTGTTCACTGTATCCTTTCCATCATTCCTCCTTGGTTCGGTTAATTTTTAAAGTCGAATCATTTCGAGAGTCTTTATCGTACCATCTTTATCTTGCCGACCAATTGGCAATAGAGGTAACAAAGGCTTGCTTGTTTTCGATTCCTAGTCGCTTCCTATACTGTTAAGCCGTTCGTTAAACCATTTGAGGCACCCAGGCTGTTTTTGAGTGACCTGTGTGGCCGCTCTCTTCAACAGTTGATGAATCAAGGTGTGCCTTACTTCTATCATCGGACTAGTTGGGTTCCAATCTGTTAACACAAAGGCCATTTGATGTCTGTACATCGAGTCGGTCTTTAAACCTTTAGATGTTCGCTGAGTGAGTTCCGGAGGTGACTGTTTAGCTTCGTTCCGACAGGCTGTTGTTCTGTTTTACATTTGGCGCCTCTACAATTCTCCCTTTTGGGCGACAACATAGTCTTGTAGGTGAAAGTCCCGCCGTGTTCGTTTGCCCATGTAGTGATGTGTTGATCTGGAAACAAAATCCCGGTGTAAATGACAAGGGACTGAATGGTGCCCCATCTGAGTGACTCCTTGCAGTTGCCACTCACGGTGTCGGCACCACCCGAGGTGGTAGCTTCCCAGGACCTCTGGCTACGAGAAATGATCGCGACCGGTTCTTAATGTGGCAATTTCGAAGGCTCCGCGACACCCAGCCCTTTGTACATATGTTCGGTCGCCTCAGGATTATTAACACTACCGCGAATGCGAGATGGGCTAGATGGCTCAGTGGTTAGAGCGTAAATTAACTGGCCAAATGTGCTAAATGTCTTGGTCCTACAGACGAACTTGAAGGAAACTACAAAAGGACAACTCGTTTCACGGTGAGTACGTAATACATATATTGGGATACGGACTTGGTGACGTTTCCATGTCGCCAACGTCGTCAGCCATCCAGGCAATTCAAGCAATCCGAACACGCCCATAAAATCGATCCAACGATGTACATTACGCTCCCATCATACAATGAGTCGTTTTGACTCGTCTTCCATCACGTGAACGGTTCTTCTGTTGTCATTATCTCACTATTCTGCATCTGCCACCCAAATACAGCCTATTCTTACAACATTAAATGTGCATCATTTTGACGAAAGGCTTGTAGTAACAGTAAATGCTTGGTTTATTGATAGCATTGTTGAATTGCGTCTAGCGCTACACCGTTGTAACATCTGGTAACGACTAGATGTATACGGACTAATCAAAGTTTATGTCATTTCACTTTTCCCTTTTGATCATGCTCATTGACTTTGAGGCAAGTTGATGCGGTAAACAGCAGTATTCCGTTCTATCGAATATTTTCACGACAGTCTAGCTTCTCAGCGCTGTAGGAGTCATTTTTTTAACGGATGTATAATGTTTTCAGTCGTTTAGTGTTTCATCTTATCGCTTCACCTCTGTATTAGATAACTTTGTTTGGTTTTGTCCTCTTCCTAATGCTGATCACAGGCCTCAGCGCTTCTTAAACGCGGAAACCTATCAGATGCCGAAGTCCTTCTCAAAGCTGTTCTTTCGCCGCTGGGAGGCCGACCACAACCAAACTCGTCTCCGTCTGCTTCTAATTCATTTACCAACTCGTGTGAGGAAGCGGACTCGGCCGTTTTTTCTCTGTCTTCTACGGGTAGTATTTATTCCGCCGCTGATAAATTTGATCCTATCAACGGACATCCCGCCAGGCGCGTGGTCCCTATTTGGCTGGTGGTTGAGCAAGCAGGTCGAGAGGGACGTGATCAATTGTCCAAGTTGATGAAGTTCGATTTGTCCGCCTGGGCTACCGAAGCTCATATCGAACTGTACGTTTCTGTGTCGGTGTTTTCATGCGCAATCGCCTATCCGTGTCATCTTCAGCCCATTTAACATTTCTGCCGTAGGTGCAGTTCCTCACTGAAATTACCTCGGCCTGTTTAGTTAACACATCCGCCAGGATCATGTGGGATTGGCTGTTTTCCGGGCTCGTTGAGATACGCCATCCTGGGTTTCGTGGATGTATTACCTACTACTCAGCATCCTCTGCATTTTTGATTTACCTAACCGGTTTTGGTACCGGTAGTGACTGGGTGATGCAGCCGCACCTTAGCGATCTCGTCCAGCTAATTTAATGGTTTTCCGTTTGAAATTGCTTAACTATACTTGTACTCAATGTTTGTTGTGGTCGACAACGTCGTCCACGGTGGAGGGAAAACTGCATCCGTTTAGGAGTTCCGTCAACCCCTACATTGAAGTTACGAGGCACACGAACACATTGAATCGTGCTCTTTACGGTTCTGTGACATTGCATTGACCCTTTGAACACTACAGAAGCACTTGGTGACTCGGCCGAGATGACTGTAAATGTAGCATGATCGGATTTTTTTATTTACACGTAGTCAGGTCGGATAACGTAACAGCTTGACCAAAGTGATTAATGAATCTGTCGTGAACACTGAAGTCGCATGCCAGTAAGGTGTTTGCCCCTCTTTGGAGTTTGTCACCAGTGCAACCTGGGATGCTCGCCCCTGATCTGAAAATGGTTGGCGAATGTTCGTGACCCGTCAATAGAGTAAACAGTGTACTGGATATCACTTTAACAAATGAACATGAGTAATTTATTCTCAGTTTGGTTATATTTCTGCACTGGCATCAAAAATCTGCTTGATTGCATCTTCAGAGTTTTCTGGAGATTGTGAGACACATCGAATACTCGTCTCGACGCGCTAGAAGCAACCATTACTCTAGGAGAGGAGTTGAAATGGATCAGCATTAATGGAAGGTGCTCTCCAAATTTGTGATGGGCTAATCAAAACAGCTGTGCCAGGACAAGCGAAGGTGATGTAAATGGTGATTATTAACTTCGTCTACTCAGAAGAACTTTGACATTCGGCACTTTAGTCTCACGTGAAAGCTTCAGTCAGAAGTTAGTGGAATGGATCTGCCAGCTGATTCATATTAATAAGGAAAATCGTAATGGAGCCCAAGAAACGATGGATGACTGACTATTTTGGCTAGTGATGACATTCCATTGATAGGAGGCGGTGGTGGCTGTCAGTGGTAGAACTTCACACTTCACGTGAAGTTGCTGTTTTCGACGCAAGCGGTAGCGATATCTAGCGATATTTAAGGCGCACTTTTCCCGTCAAGTGATTTAGACCCGTAACAGTGACATCCTCGGTACACGCGGAATACCGGCGAACACTGTACCGATCATCTGCTGGAAGCTAACGAGAGCTGATCCCGAGTAGCAGTTCGGTGAACCGTGTGCTCATGTTCAGCAGCTTCCATGATTCTTCTGTCCAGGCTACTTGCATATATGCGTCAACGAAGTCTGATTTGAGCAGATACTATCCCCTCCGCGCGCTAATCTTAGCTTACGAGTCTTCAAGAGTAGAAAGAGGATATTTGTGATACCATAAGGTAACCTCGAAGTCACTGAAAAAAACATATAAATGAACATTGCCATTTGTGTTCCTCATGATCCCTATAAATGCAGCCCCTTCGAACCAACTGACCTGCAGATTGCAAGCAGTCAAGGTCGCTGTCTGCCACCAGTAACATTATATGACACCAGTTTTTTTGGTTTGAACACTGGCTTGGCATTCAGATGCAGTGTTTAATTTGCCTTCGCGACCGAAGCCCTTGCTGGAAGCACTTGTCTATTTGGTCTCCAGGCTTCCAACCTGCATCAAGATTATAGTGATTCCGACTGGCCCATCAAGTCGAGATTTATGAATGGTTTGTAGCAAAACGCCCAGCCTGAATTTGGGGATTACCAAAAATGTGACCACAGTTTAAGAATTCTACCGAATGCTTCTGTCGCTGCCTTCCTTCAAAATAAGAGCAGTTCGGCTAGCCGTTTTCCGAGTTGATCACGAAATGCCATCAAGTTTATCGATTTTTAGAAGAACTCGAGCTTAAATAACTTTAAGCGTTCTATCGTGGCTTACCCTCCTACATCTATTAAAAGCAGTCTGTGTTTTTTAGGCAGAAAAAAAGAGACGAAGTGGATATTAATGCGTCAAGGTGCCAATCGCCCGGTCGACTTGAGGAAAAATCGAAAGATAACCCAATCTTATCCAATTTCATCCTAAATGTTTCGGCGCGTAGATTGACAAACACTAACTCGTGAAAACATGATTTATCTTGAAATCACACTTTCTTCAAGAAAACTAAAGGCTAAGACATGGTTGTATGTGAATACTAGTTTAATTGATACACGATTCCTGATTGTACCAGCAAGCAATACAAAGACACTGTATGCCTCGCAAATGGCCCATGATCCTTACCCACGTAGTGTGGTGATTTCTGGCAAATGTCATAATCTCACTTTACATCTATGTCCATTCACCATGCCAACCGGTCTGTTTTTTAAGGAGCCCTTAGCCAAAGTGTCACTACCCAGAACTCGAAGCACACGATTACCGTACTTATATTCAAAAGTCGCTTGATTCAAACACCATGAAGTCCTCCCATCTACGGAGATGGTATCCCCAGATGAAAGCTCATTTTCAGTAAGCGGTATCAAATCGCAGCGGTTTTCCGGGAAGCACGATTCGCCATAGCTGTGTGATCCTTCGAACTACTCCTTATTCTCGTGATCCTGAAATCGTTATCTTAGTTATTGGCTCGTGATCACTCGTTCACATGTTCGTGAAACTTGTGAGCCTCACCATGTGCTTGGGAATATCCTCCGTGACATGGTTTATAATGGTTTTAACAGCGCTAGAATTCAACGTGTGTTGTATTCGAAGTTTGCACTATTTATCTTCGTCATTGCCAGCAGCATCTTCCTCAGGGTCTTTGTTTTGGTGGTACTTATATGAGGGTACTTTCCTTTTCCGCCATCTGTTCAACCTGATGCGTCCCACCTCTGTTGTAAATCTGGATGCTAACAGTAGCTCATTGCTATTTTTTATGTTTCAGTCCTATCGTCGTCAGTGCCTTGCGCAATTTGGCGATTGTATATCAACGTCAGGGATTACTACCTCAAGCCAATCTGTTACGATTTTGGCTTCAGCCCACAAATGTGAACGGAACTATGCCGACTAGCCACCAGGTTGTAACTGATGCACGATCGGATGTAATTCGCGACTTATCGATTTCCATGCCACCGTCTCCGCAAATCACGGTCAGTATGTGTGATTCATATTACGCTGGACTTCTCTCCGTTCCGTTTTACCCTGGACTTACTCATTTACATGCTGAACGCTTTATGAAACTACGTCCATTATGCTGCATTCTCATTTTATGCTGCTAACCACCTTATCACGCCTACTAGGACGGCGAAATAGCTCACCTCACATCTACTTAAGTTCAAAGACTACTTTTGACCTTAGATAGCGATTTGGCACAATCACTTTGGTTGAAGTGTCGTGGATTTCACTATAATGAAGGACACCAAAGAAATCTGATATTTTTCCCACCCTTCCTCCACATCAGATTGTTATACCGGTCACAAACTAATGTATGATTTTTCGGGCTGTAGTGCAGTATTGGGCGTTAGCCAAAGTTCCCTCCCTGTAAACCGTTTCCTGGCAATACATTGCTTCCAAAACTCGTTCATCGACAAGGGTAAAAATAAGATGGGCGCAGTAATCTACTAAGGTCCTCGATCCGTTTACGTGTTGGAGTATCCGCTGACATAGCTCTCTACTGACGGCGATGGCTTTGGTGCGGAAACATCTTTGATTTCCTAACGATCTGAGATCCTCACCAATAAGGACACAGTATCTACGGGTGCGACTAAGTTAAATCATCAGGGACATCACGTTCCAGTTGTGTACTACATCCGTATTCTACAACTTTCTCCAGAAGTTCTAAGTGACCTGGTGCTAATCTGTAAGTCAGGTTGCTAGGACCTTCAAGATGGGGCGAATTATTGCTCGCCAACTTAAATGATTCCTTCTGTAACCTGCCACTCCAAGCCTCCAAATTGTGCCCCAAAACCATGAAATTGTGAATAAACTGTTCTCTCTCGCAAAGTTTTTTTTCACGGCAAGAAGTGAGCATGAGAATGGACACTGGGGTACTGTCTACGTTCATATTTTCACCTGTCCTCCTATTTACATTCCCCCAACTACGTGCACTCTCACTGTTTTCACCCCAAGGTTGGAGACCCCGTTTTAACGTGTCCGCCAGCCTTCGTCTTTGTCTTCCATTGGCTGATATGTGGGCCCCGGACTTCCAGTCTTTTTTGCTTAGACTCTGTTTAGTCCTTTGCAACAAACATATACGTTGTTTACCGCTTGTCAGACGACAATGGTATACGGTAATCTCGAGTATATCCTCCAGTGGACTTTAGTGCCCACATTACCCTTTTTCGTTTTCTCTTGGGGCGGGATGGCCCAAGTGGTTGGAGCGCGCATTTACCGACCGGAAGGTCCATGGTTCGAACCCGACATCTGCCACTCGACTCCCCCTGTCCTGGCTTGGGCAACCTGGCAGTGTCCCAGCCCTCGTGCTTCCTCCGGGTGGCATGGCAGCTGGGCACCGAAAGGATGTTACAGCTGGATGATTTTTTCTTCTCTAACACTAGTCAGACGTGTCGTCAACACATTTATCCCAAATGGTATTTTCCTCTTCGCTCACTACGACGGCCACACCACTAACCTTGGATGTCTCTTACTCCACTCTAACTATTCCATTATCCCACTCACTCTAGTGAGTTCACTTAAACACTACTCATTACCAGTTCCCGTCCAATTTAACTCTCACATTCCTCCGCCAGCTGTGAAAAAATTGTATTTCAATTATTGCCTTTCCCTGTGGTTGGAATCGTTTGATTATATGTTATAGTTTATTCCCCCTTGTTACCCAGCCCTCAAGACTGGTTCAATCACGCTTATTCTGTGCTTGTTAAACTGAGGGGCCATTTGTATGAACTGTGGGAAAGGCATCTGAGCCATCCACCCCTGCAAGGCTACTATTGCTGAGGCAAAGCATGTTTTTACTAACCGCAAGGTTATCCAGCAAACTATCCAATGATTTCACCGAAAGTCGGTTCTTGTTGAGCTGTTCGAAAACTGTTAGTTACCACTTTTGTTCACACACACTTACTCTTCTTCTCTGAAACGTGTCATGCTGTCAAATCATTGCCAAATATAAAGTTGGATATCTTCAAACTATGTTGGGCTACTGTTTTTCTTTCATTTTTTTCATTAAACTAACCTATCTTGCCTCATTATCTCATTTTCCTCTTCCACCAACCACCATGAGAGACATTCAGCAACATGTACTCTTCCCACCCACATTTCGAGACTCACCGATCCGGGCACCCTCTTCCCAACTTCCTTTGTGCGTTAGAGTCACCCATCTCATCTCAGTCTCTTTCATCTTCAAACTGGCCATCGTTTAAAACATTGTGAAAACCGTGTTTTGTAAGATAGTGAAGGTAGCACCTTCATGAATCATCTTTAGAGATTCATGCTTAATCGCTTATTTAGTGATTTGTGGAGTGGGCGTCGCAGGACGGTCCTCTGACTTTGAGGTATTTATTGAAACTGAGTTGAAACCACTAGGTGTCCAGAGGGCTCGTCTTCTGCATCTGTTTTCACTCAGAAACAGTAAACTTGATCGGTTTTTTCCCAAAGAGTTTGTGCTGATTGCATGTTTCGCAGTAGTTTTTACAATTGTTCTTGTGTTGTCTCGGGATTTCTTCAAGAATCGAGAATATCATCCATATCACCAACGTCCGTCCATGTGTTGGCATCCGTTTAACTACTGGCTATACTACCCGTCATTGTTCCACACATAATTCCTTACTGGTTTTTGACGACCAGATATGCTCTCCCGCATTCTGAACGCCGCCCTGCTCCTCTACCTCAGTCATGTCTAATCTCTCCTCAAAATCCTTTGATGTCTTCATTTTGCGTTTTCTGGTTTCCAGTTCTTGTCTACATCTACCGGTATTCATCTTCTAGCATCCCTAGTCTAACATTTTCCGAAACCTAGTTTCTCCGTGTGAAATCTCTTGCAAACAGGGACTCCGGAAATGAGTGTTTCCTTCTCCTCCGGTCCACTTCTACTTGCAATAGGAAAAACCTACTGCAAATCATAGTTTGGTCACAAACAGTGCCGTTTAGAAACTCTTTAAGCTTGAATTATCCGGTTTGACACACCTCTTATTCACCCGTATCAAAATGAAGTTCATTTGGAGGCCTTGCGTGACGGAGGATGTGGTCTTTTGATTGGTTCCAATTGGTGCAAAATTTGTTCGTTGATAAACAAACAATGCAGTAGTGGAGTTGGAAAACCACCCTAAAATTTCTTCCCGTAAAATAAGCAGCCCTAAAGACGAACAGTCAGTTTGTCTGTAAAAGTGCCCATAATTTTTATCGACCATCCATCGCTTCCGATTCTGTGAGTAGGCGTAAATGGATGAAGGTGTTGCTGAACGTTGTATGGTTGGGACAAAAAGGAAAACAAATCGAGCTCAACAAACTGCTCCGGCCTTTTTAATTCCCAAAGTCGTTGATACTCACTCAACGGTTCTGAATTTATGGTCGTAATCGTTGTCCTGTGGCTTGATTCCCCGATTTCCTTAGGACACATGAGATTTGCGCAGTGTAGCTAGGCCATTTAGACTAAAAACTAATCAATCACCCCACGACAGCTTTACCGCAACCTCAGTCATCGCCTTCTCGGTTCGGTCATTTTTTATGAGGCTTTGTCCCCACCCTCGGTCCACTGAACATAAGATGTGGGAAGGACCGTTCTTATTTCGTGATGCAAAAGTGTATAGTTATTGTTTCTGGATTTAGATGAATAGATGCAAATTTTCTATTGCCCCGCACTGTTTTTAAGAAAACCAATAGTTTATCTGCTTCGTGTTAGTCATCGAAGTACGTAAGCCAATTGGACTTTATTTTTCATGTGCTCAAACCCACTGAGCGAATCAACATAAGCCGCCTAATCTCCATGAGATTGTTCTGTCATCACTGATCTTCCGTTCGTGTTTCCTATCTAGACGTCATTCGCTGGAAAGCGCGACGGTTGAATGAATTCGCACGTAGCAGTCTATGGCTTTCGTTCGATGATTTTTCCCACCGATGTGGCCATCATCTCATGCATTTTCGCTGGATAGCACCAGGATTCAGTATTCCGAATGTGCTTTACTGCGCAATACGTTTTGTACATTCTTCCACTCAACCCCGAATTCTTTCCTGCTTTCATTTTCTTGCCCTGTCGCTTGTCCTCAAACAGGATGCCGTGCACCTCGGTGAGTGCTTTTCTTCGATGCTACACTTAATGATGCCGATGACAGTGCTGTTTTCAAATATTCAGTTTCTTTTCTTTACGGCGATAATTTTAGGTGGAACGCACATTGAGCTAACTGAAATTGTTCTCTCTTGAATCGTTGCAGTTTACACCATCGGTCGACCTATCTTTGTCCGCTAGATTTTCGATTGCAAAGTTTTTGGCAATTAGAACTGTGATTCTGTTGAGTACGTATGTGTGGTCAATAACGCTTGTTCAAAACGGTCTTGAGCTGTTGATTAAAAGTAACTAAAACGGCCAACAATAGGCAGATACATTTTCCGGCAGATTAACCGTTCCAGATTAGGCTATTCTACTAATCTTGACACGTATGTCCCTCGTTTCGCCCGTCCTTTCCTATGGTGGATGTGGCTCCATTGAACGTGATGTCGCGCCCGACTTCACGGAGCAAACACACATCTACAGTTTGTCGACAGGCTGAACTCCTGTTACCTAGCTCTACTACCATGATCGACATTTCTCAACATGCAGGTCACACATTCTTTCACTGAGTAGCTATGGTTGCTATCTCTATAAAACTGTGAACAACGCACCACAAAAACCCTTGAACAAATAGAGGACTTGACACGTGTGACTTTGAGGAAAGCTGGAATGCCCCACAGTTTGATGGAGAATTCCCTTGTATACTCGTACTACCAAGAACAGTTTTATTTGGGAAAGTCTTGAAACTCGCTCGGTTTAAGAGCTGTATAGTTGAGGGCACCAGTCGTGTTATTCCACTTTTATTATTCAAGGAAATTCCCTCGGATCGAGAATATCCTCCTAGTTACGGTACCTTCCAGTTTCCTGTGGACCAGGGTAGCCCAGTTGTTAACATTATGGACCTAAACTCGAATCCATGCATGGACGCTTTCCCAATGACTGCCAGACCTCGTCTTCAAATTTGTGTACGCGTGTTGTTTCATTAAAAAAACGCAAAAATACACCTTAACAAAGATACTTTGGTTGACAGGCCCTTCAGACAGAGATTTATTCAGCAGAATTTGAATCAGTTGTATCAGTCTGTGCTATCTTTCGTCAGCTGGTTGAAATAGCGACCCTCGTTAAATCCGAGGATGAGGGGTTCACTAGAATTAGGTTTCACATCTGTCCGTGTAGTATGAAAATTACGCATGGAAAATATCCCCATCTTTTGTTGTGCGATTTCCAGAGTTGTTAAAAAAAATATACGGATTTCTCGGCGTACCGGCTTCGTCCCACCAACAGCTTCGAATTTCTTCAGTTTGATTTAGTCGTGAGGACTCTGTGTCTGGATGGGGCCATTCATGTTCACCTTGTCTCACCCTATAAACAAAATCGGAGTGGTTCTATTAGGAGTCGCGGAGTGCACCGTGCTTGGTTGTTGGTCTGTTCGCCGAGCTTGGTCTTTGGATTTCAGGTGTTCCATCACCAATCCAAGTGGCTCCGTTAGTTGATTACCCCGCTCTGGGGGTCTCACCTCGCTTGGTGGTAAAACGTTTGCAATCCAACTGCCAAGCTGCTCTGATAGACCAACAACCAATCAGCGCACCCGAGCTGCCTGTATTCCGCAACATAACCCAACTGTACCGTCGTTTGCCATCATTGCAGCCAAGTCACAATGCAGTGGGAGCGAACATCCTGGAACTATCCCTCGGAGGTGCACATCTCAAGCTCCTTAACTATGTCCTGTATTCGTTCGATATTATATTCCTTTATTCCCAAATTTATGACCTCTCTGTAGAAGCCACTTTTGGTTGGTGATTTTACACGCTGCTTCTAGAGACGATGGTAGCTTGTTTTAGGTATTATTTACATCTGGAAGCATTTCTGTCAGGAAAGTCGGGTTCCTGAAAATAGTTCCAGAATGCCCAGACCCTCAAACTCCATCAAAATCTCCATAGATAAGCCGGCAAGCATCCAGGCTGATCAGTCAATCAATTCGGCAATAGCCTGGATCAGTGAAAGGGCCATTCAAAGCGCGCGAGGCCACTTGTAGCTATTTTTAGAATATAGCTGTTGTGTTCTTTGTTGGAGCGTCTTTCTCAAACACCAGCGTTCTGGAGCGGAAGACAGCAATTAGATATAACAATTTCCCATGGTGGCCATTGTTACAGCGAAGGGAACTATTCCCTTCCCGCATTCTCATATATATACAACTATATCGCGGTCATCATTGTTGTAAAGGAAGCACCCTCTGATGTGCTTCCATGGTACTGTTATGCAGCGGCCTCACAGTAGATCTTAGTTCACAAATGTTGCGGGTGGGTACCTTGTTCGTCAAGCAAACAACAGAAGCTGTCAGTTCATTGGAAACTCGGTTCTCCCTAACCAGCGATTTGCCCAAGCGCCATAATTGGCTTGGTGACCTCTTCCATTATTCGTACAACCTGGCCACTTACTTTATTTCTTTGGTTCACTAATCATTCGGCACCGATGTGCTGACGTTATAAATGGTTTTCATTACCTCTCGACAGCTACTCATGAGGAACGGATGCTTATATCATTCATGCTTCCGGAGGCTCAACTTTTGTCTGTACAATGTATGCTTACCGCACCACTAATTTGCACTATAGAACTCGATTTTGTGTACTCAACCTGCCCTCCTTTTCTTCTTTCAGCTGGTAGTCACTTTAAGTTGCGATCTTTTTTGGATTTTCTTCAACCGTGAAAAATCTTTTGTCTTCCGCGAACTGAATCCTACCACTGCTCGCCGTGCTTTCGATGTTGTGCTCGTCCAATCGCTCCTAGCCAGTTCTATCTGAATTGCATTTATTTCATTTTTCCCAAGTTATTCTCTTCAGGGCTCTGCTGATGCGTCCAAAGCGATTTTTCTTCCTGTCCAGACATACAAGACGCTGGTTTGTCATGTTTTCTCAAATTCCTTTTACATTTTGATTTAGTGACAAACACCATCACAGCGTGTGCAACCAATGAGTAGAAAATCACATGTCTCCCTGGTACTACTCTGTTGTAACTAGCTTAAAACCACACCGCTCAAAAAATATCATACTATGCAAAGCGCTACGTTTTTTTTCAGCGAGACGTCCAGCTTCAACAATCCAACGATTGCTAACTAGTTGCTTCGTTGCTTATCCTCAGTCAAACATTTTGCCGATTGCAAGGTTTGCGGCAATTAGGTTTCAGTGCGGCAATATGAATAGCTGCATCGGAAACATTCGTTTAGGTATCAAAGTGTATGATGTAGGGAGCCGCAGGTTTGTGAACCCAAGATAAGACGTCGCTGCGAATAACTTCGCCTGAGGTCGACAGTGGAACGGCTTCGATTTGTGAAGAGGACGACGGGTGTTTGGCTGCAATGCCAAAGCATGTGTGCCCATGATGGAGTATCAGCAACAATTTTAATTCACTCGGGACGCAACGTACATCAATGGTAAATAGAACAGTCGAGCGTAAATTGCTCGCTTTGCGTCGATGAAAACGCTAAACCAAGCTAGAATGTCTATAGTTCGCGACCGAAGCTACCGTGCGTCGATTCATATGGGTTGCACTTTTAGAAAAACTGGCCAGTTTTGTTCATACTTTTGCTGGATGCCGGTGATTCGAAAATTGGAAGCGCCAATATTGAGCGAGAAGGGTAATGATGTCGTAGTGGACTATATCGGTTAAATTGGCGATAATCGAATCCAGCTGTGCACGTACAGCACGTACGCGCAGTCTTTTGAGAGAGTTTCACGTTCGTGGTTTCTTGAGCGGCTACTCGGTATATGTAGTGGACAACTTTAGGTCTGAAAACAACATGTGATCGATTTTGCAAACATTTTTCTCTCATGTGGCTTAAGTATGTTGAGGCAGCCATTCAGAAAGGCTGTTTAGAGGCTTTCGCTGTTGTTTCTGTGAACCACCGGGTGCAGGTATGTCCCCAGTATGTAGACTACTACGTCATTGAGGCGAACCTCACAAGGCACCGGAACGTGTGCGCTGAGTGGCATTTAGGTGAATCCGGACTGACCAAAAGGAGTAATGACGGTAGTCCTTGGAACATCCACTTCGCAAGCTGTGGTCTTGTTGTAGGCGTGCACCGAGCCGATTTCAGAGACGGTTTTTAGATCGAAAAATTTTGGCGCTCAGGTCACGGAATCGTGAAGTTGGCGCTGTAGTGATGTTTATGATGACGTGGTAATCGCAGCGGCCTATAACCGCTTGCGATCTTAGAGACCAGATGCGTGCTGAACACAGACCTATCGGAGCGAGAAGTATAATCAACACGAGGAATACGCCCCACGTCGCCCTGCACCCGACAAAGTTAATCGGATGTGAGACGACTCGGTCGCATTGAACCAGCGGGCCAGCACTCGGTGCGTGTAGGGTCACATTGGTGGTAGTCTGTGGTGACCGGACAAGGCTTGGAAGCCTTCGAAGGATTTGGGTAAAATCGTTAGTTTCTGGAGACAAAGATGGGGGATAATCGACATTTCCCTCACTATGATAAGCACAGTCTAGGCATCGACATGTTGATTTCGACATACAGGACTCGCGAGACACATGGATAGGATCAGGGTAATCAGGCCTTCGCGATCTAGGCCCTGCAGTATCAGGTTGGGTGGATTCAGCTGAGTAGTCTGTAGACTGACAGATAGATTCGTCTGCATGCCCATATTATTTTCACAGGAGACTCGACTGAACCCTTTGTTTATGGTGTCCTTCAACCAGGCTGTCTCATGCTTCACGTGGAACGATATACGAGACGTCATAATACATTTGATAGACAAAACACTGCTCACAAGGTTGCTGAAAACTCTTCGGCAGCTTACGACCCTTTTGTCTCGTGGTTCAACAGGTAACCACAACCCCTGAGATTCCGTAAACCTCACGTCCTGCTTGAATCCAAATAGCACAAAATTTGACCAATATACTCTACTGCCTACAAATTTGGTTTTTAATGACCGGTCTTTTGTATTAGTGCAAGTAGGGCGTTAAACGTGAAAACTGGTTTTGAGGCATACCTCTGAAAGGGTTTTGCGTCGATTTGTTGCTTAAAGATCTCCGGGACTGGGATAGAAGCGACAGATACGGTTAACATGGGCAGAGATAACTCCCTGTTCATCTTCTGGCTTGAGCTGGTGATCTTGAACCTAGTATGTCAAGAAGTGACCACATTTCTGTGATCGCGATGAGCCCCATTCTAAAATGTGACGCCAGTCTAGTAGCCCACCACATTGTTGTGGATACCCTGTGTACTTTCGTAGTAATTTAAAGGTCGTCGTTGGCGGTATTCGTGAGCTCACCGCAACCTGTTCCCCTTGGACCGACGTTGAAGGGTTGTGCCACGTTGAAAACACTATTTCTCCATCGCCCGGATCACCTTGTTGGTCAGCACAAAGCCAACTTGATGCTGCATAAAGCAGCGCCCTGGCAGACACTTGAGTTTGGAAATCGGGTTGGCTGGGTTGCCCAGCAACATGGGAGGCCCAGAACCTCCTGGATATATTTTCATCAAGCGCAATAATATCAGTGGTCTGGCGCCGTGTTCAGGTGGGTCAGCTCCGGCACCCACTGCATGCGAAGTTTTCTGCTTACCTTTTCATTCCTAGCCTCGCAAAGGTCAGCGTCAAAGCGTTTGATACTGTTTTTTCAAGGGCCACAATTGTGCACTTAATCGAGTTTCACCAAGTCAGCGCTTAATCACCGGCATTCTTGAACTATCAAAAACTGATTTAAAACACTGCTTGGTGTTCCACAGTAACTATCTCCGTACCTGCTCGAGTTACCCAATGGGGCATGCTTCACCATTCTTTGAATCAGTCTTTACGATTACGTGTGTCTACCCAAAAAGAACACTAGTAGCGAGATTGGCTAAAGCGCTCCAACAGCCCCATTGCAGTTGTCCTTCTTAAGAGTTCATCGGATGGGCGTAGTTTCGCAATATCATTTAACTTTTCTTCTTGTTTGACCGCTACCATAAGTTTATTTCCGAATACATTGGGCAGTTCGATTTCACTCTGCCCTGGGTCTTGGCCTAACTTCGGCCCCAAGAACTCACGGCGTGAAACAACTTGGCGGGGTTGTATTTTTTAAGGGAGCCGACATTATCTGCATTGTAATGGGTTAAAAGAATACCTGATCTTTTTTCATAAAGGAAACTACTCACAAGGTTACTGAAAACTCTTCGTCAGCCCACGACCAATTTCACCCTTCTTGGGGCTCATCAGGTAGGCGCGGTTCCTGAGATTCCGTCAACCTTATGTTCTAGTTGAACCAAAATTAGACTGTTTTCGAGAAATACACTCATTTGCAAGTCAATTTAGTTTCCACAGGAGACTCAACTGATCTTATCTAACCCATGACTGGCCATAGGCGCACAAAGCAAATGATTCGAGAGAAAATCGTGGAATTTAGAGGAAGCTTTTTTAACGCGGACGAAAGTGACAAGGGTTGCGAGTTGCTCAAAGGTATACACGGTGCACTGCATATCTATAACTGTCGGTTACAAAACAGCGTACACTCTGAAGGTATTACTGCAAAAAATGGGGGTAAGCAAATAATTAAGAGTTTAGACACAAGAACCCCGTTGATTCTTCAAGCTACATGTGAGGCCAGGACGCAAATTTGATGGTGGATCGGGCGCAATAGGTTAATCCCAAAAAGAAGCCAAGGATATCAGTTCAGGTAGCTGATCCATAGAGGCAAACGGTGAACTTCTCTGAAACCTTAGCTTGGAGAAATGGAACATACAGGTTTAGCATGGAATAGTGCGCATTTGAGAATTTTAAATCTCCGTAGACAGTGGCAAATGTTCAAAGCACATGCTACGGAATCTATTCGCTTAATTATGCGAAACGTTTGCCCATTGCAACCGGATTACAACATTACAGCATTTTTCCCTAAAAATTCCGTTTTAACACCATATGTCGCTCAATATTTTCAGCACTATCCGAGCCAAATCGGGATCAGAAATCCTTTGTTCAAATTCGTTCAAACGTACTCAAGGTCTGCTTTGGAGGAGGAATTTATAATTACGGGAGTTACCGTGGTTCACTGTGATTCGTCTGATTACAACGTTTTCGAGGAATCCCGCTCCTTCACACTTTTGCTCTTTCGTTGCATCTGAAAATTTTCTGAAAGATTAGGTAAACAAGAATTACGTGGTTCTTTGTCCTCATGAACTCAAAAAGAGGCAGTCGTTCACGGCCCATGTACGAAGTGCCTTCCACCGTTGCAGCAAAATTCCTGCCGGGTGAAGCCAACCTCCGCGATTGTCGTCGTTTATTGGCAGTAGGGTGCGATGGTGGTCATTTAAGCCCCGTACGCTTCGCCCGAACCTAACAAATAGTTGTTTCAACGTTCCTCCGACGTCGTAAACGCTGATGCCACACCGAATGGATTGTCTTTGGAAGCTTCTTAGAACATCAGACTTTTACCATACATGTACAAGTGGCCTTGTTCCAGCGTGAACACCTTGCGCCTTTTCGTGAACCGTCGGTCTTGGTCGACTTTGTGATGGATGGACAGCACTGCACCAAGATCGATTAAGACTACTGATATCACGTAAGGTTGTGATAATGAATGGCTATTATTGAACATATTTTCCGACAATCTTGTTTTTCATTCTGAGGAAATCGGGCCGGGTGGGAATGTTCATTTGCAGAGATATTACTAGTTTCGCGTAAATTTTCAGAGGATGTCAATGTTCACTGACATCCCTTTAACTGAAACGGTTAACTACCCATGTAACTACATAGAAAACAGCTTTTAGCTGCCAATTTTAGTCAACGAATTGCGAGAACCCCTACTGCGATGCACACTGAATGCATACCTATTGTTCAAATGCATGCCCTACCGTCAAATTGATGGCATTGCTATGACTTCACAACTGAGTCCAGTTTTAGCTATCATTTTCACGAGTAAACTTGCAGACTGTCTCTCAAAAGCCAGAATATATAAGATGCAATACTGCTGCCGATGTGTAGACGGTATCTTCCCGGTTGTAAACAATGAACCCGAGAATTGCTGGAATCGCTCCAACAACACTTCAGTAAGGCACACGCTGCCATCCAATTCCC